GAACCAAAATACAGAAGGCATTCTTGCAGGCATAGAAACAGCAACCCCAAAGGGCAGACTTGGCCATTTTTAAATTGTGTGATTGTTTCTAGTGCAGAACAGATCTCATCAACTTCAGTGCTCTTCTGAGACACTGTCCTGCAGCTAGAGCAAGTGCTTTTGTACCCTGTATTTGGCTTACATTAGAGTTAGGGGACTGCAGCTCCCAAAAAATCCCATGAAACGGCTTTTTTCAAGGAGGGAAGTGATGAGTGTTTTGCATCCATCCATCATAGACTGGATGATCTTAATAATCAATTGCCTTCTGGTATGATACAGATTAGCATGGCTGTTGCAAACCATTTGAGAACGGCCCTCCACAAAGTGTTTTGGTGAGAGAGGACCACCCCTTGAAGCTTTAATACAGCCACATCTTCTGGAAATGGCAGCACAGCTGCTTCAAAAACTTTCTCCAGGAGTCTGTGCAGGTGTGTTCACACATCTTGTCTCACTTGCTAGCAACCCTGGCAGAAGGGTTGTCTTCCTGAACAGACACAGGCAGGCAGCTGGGGATGGCCTTCAAAGCAACTGTACTAGCTTTGCAAAGGACATGGCTGCTTTAACACTAGAAGGAGGAATTATTTTCATGAACCAATGTGTTCTGCAAAGTCACACGTTCATATGTTTTCCAGAGCCTACAGACTAGGGGACTTCTTTCTCCCCTGTAAGAAACTACTGAGCTAGCCATATTTCCCAACTGTGGCAACTTCCAGAGATTTGGATGTCAACTCCCAGAATTCTCAGAAATGGCTCTGGTGCCTGGGAACTTTGGGAGCCCACATCTCTGGAAGCTGCTAAGTTTGGGAAGCATTGAGCTAAGGAAAAAAATTGGTTGAGTTTCCAAACGGGTAAAAAGCATTTGAAGAAGGCTGTGTAGATGCTGACAGGCAATCCAGCCGAAGCTCTGTTATGTCTCTCTCCCCCAGTAGATGGAAATGGAAACAAATTTTATTAGGAATTTCTAAGCTTTTTGGATTAGACTGAGATTTGTTTGTGTTACAATAGAGAGTTTCATTTTGATTTTGGTTTAATTTCAGTTATAATGTGGCAGGAACCATGAAAGCTTCTGGCTGCTTTTGTGTGATGTTGCCTTATGAGTAACCCCATAAATTTCAACACATCCTTATTACTCAGAGGAAAAGCTAGTTGCTTGCATGGGAAAACTATGGGAAGAAACTAATCTCTCAGTGAGTAGTAATACACCAATCTTCCAAGTGTATTTATAATGGAGAGGTTTGAATAATCAGCCAGGCTGTCCTCCAAATGCATGGACTTCTCAAATTCCCTGCCAGCATGGTTGCTGCTGAGAACTCTGGGACTTGAAGTGCAGAATCTTCAACTCAGGGAAGGTTATAGTGGTCCATCTCTTCTGCCTCCACAGCCACTTCCTGCAGTGGCCATAGAGGGGGGTCTTATTCCATGAATAAAGAGGTTGTGTCAGATTAGAGAGAACAATCTTTTACTCTTCTACCAGCCTCTCACTTCATGCACAAAATTTCATAAACTGGCTTACATGAAATGCCAGGCTGCCTGGCCAAATTGTTATATACGCAATTCCATTACCAAGGTAAGTTGGGTTTAAACCTATATAGGTGTCTAAATCTGACCTATGAATGATGTAGGACATCATTTCAGCATCTCTGGGGCTTCAGGAGCAGTATGCTTTAAACATGCAAGCTAGATTTCTATAAACTGCTAAGCTGTGTATATGTGTGTATATATACACCGACAAATACACATATACAAATATAAGATTTACAAACTACTGTGATTGAGTTCATACAATGCTAATGCTAAACAAACAGCTTCATGGCTTTGTGTGATGTGTGAACTCTGTTATAGTGTAATAACTAAAAAAATATATGCAAGACAAATATATTCAATAATTCTTTTTTTCTTAACTTGATGTAGTAAAGAACCGAGTGAAGGCCCATCATGGCCATGCTGTAGAAATTGGGGGGAAAACCCTGGAGATAAGAATTTTGCCAGATTCGGAGATGACCGTGATTGATGCTGAAGAAACAGTGTTTCCAAACAAGTTGATATGCTCAGTTTCAACTTCGCTTTCTTCTTCAAACTCTTTGCCTCTTCAGAATGATTTTAAAAGCAAGCAAAAGGAAATATGTGCAGCTGATAATAAAAGTGTTACAAAAAAGGTAAGCCTCTAAGTTTGCTTAATGTAGAATGCTTATATTAGCTCCCAACTGTCCCCACAATATTGGTGGCCGTGAAAATCCTAAATCTTCAATGTTGTGAGACATTGTATTTTCTATAAATTAATTTTATATAATAATGACCCTCCCACCCTACCAGTTAGCAAATTCAAGCCACAGGTTTGGTGTGCCCTTTTTGTTATTGTTCTTCTTCTGGCTGCCTGCCTGCTTGTCAGACACAAAGCTAGGAAAAGCATCCCTGTTTTACTCAGCCCTCGAGATAGAACTCTTGAAGCCCATATTTTGTTTCATATCTGGAGTTCTTGAGCTGGCTGTTTTGAGACTGGAAAATTTCAAGGGCAAAACATTCCTCATTTCCCTAAATTCCTGGTGTAAAATAGGGATGTTGACAGGGTCTCCCAGGGCATTTGCGTAGGGTAGCATGGTGGGTATGGTTAGTCTACAGCAGCCAGTGAAATTGGGTTAAGGATTATCATGGCAACCAGCCTCAAGTGTGCCATCATTTGCACTGATACAAATCTGAGGGTGCATTGCTTGAGTTCCTAGAACCCATTTGGCCTCAGTGTGTCATATGACTCCAGTCAGCATGTTCTGGAGATGGGGGACTAGAGTCAGAGGTTTATTCCCAACTCTTTAACACTTAGATATTTCCACTAGAGGCCCCAAATCCCAGAAACTGATGATAATAAATGTTCTTAAAATTAAACCTATCCATCCCCCTTTTAAAAAATATCATCTGATTCCTTGTTGCAGACCGTGGGTTGAATTTTATTACTCCTTTGGCATTCCTCATCCTCCTCTAGAACTTTCTTGTTTTAGAAACTAGTACATTTAGTGCATTGCTGGAAACATGCTTGCATGGGAATACACAGAAGCTTATTTAAGCAATTTTATACTTGTAGGTCAGAGTAGAAGCTTACTTAAGCAAACTTATATTTACTTATCCTTTTGCTTATCTAATTGTAACTGTGGAATTTAATGCAGGAGTGGAGTCAAATTATAGTAGAGACACATTTTGATAATATCCCCTTGGGAGTAAGTCTCAGGAACTCTACGGGATGGGATATGTTTTCTTCCACCATTACCCATGTTTTCCCACCTGTTTTCATAGCCCAGTTAGGAATAAAGGTAGCGGAACACTAGTTGTTCAGGTTGAACATACAGTACTGTGCAGAGGTTTTAGCCAAGTGTGAAAAAATGCTGTAAAGTAAGAATGCTTTCAAAAATATATATTGTAATTGTTTATG